GACGTCTCCCTTCACCCACTTTTCCGTCCATTCCCCCAGGGAGGAGGTCACATGTAGAAGACATTTTCTTAGTCTTGTGGAATTACTGTCCCACTTACAAAAGAAAAGCCAACAGTTTTTACACAGTTTAGACATCCCAGAAAGGTTAGAAGACCTCTGAAATGAACTGAGAGAAGCAAGACCATCAACCACAATGAATGAAGAATCCATGGCTTTATAATTCGAGGTTTTAGATTTAAGTTGTCGATCCATCTTGAATTTATTTTAGTGTACGGTGTGAGATATGGGTCCTGCTTCATTCTTCTCCAAATGGATATCCAGTGTTGCCAGAACCCTTTGCTAGAGCCTATCACTTCTCCATTTCCTGTGCTTTGGTCCTTTGTCCAATATCAGCTGTCTGTCAGTATATGAATTTACTTTGGGTTCTCAATTCTGTTCCATTCATTTATGCATCTGTCATTGTGCTAGTGCCGTGCTGTTTTGATTACTGTGGGTATGTAGTGCTTGGGGAGTAGGAAGTCAGAGCTATGACTTTGTTCTTCTTTATAGTGCTTTGCTTAACTGGGTGTCTTTTTCCTTTCTATAGAGAGTTGGGTATTGTTGGTTTTCATCGCTTTAAAGCAGGGGTCCGCAAACTTTTTAAACAGGGTCCGTTTACTGTCCCTCCGACCCGTTGGAGGGCAGGACTATAGTTTAAAAAAAATGAACAGATTCCTATGCACACTGCACATAGCTTATTTTGAAGTTAAAAAACAAACGGGGCAGAAACGCCTGCCGGGCCAGATAAATGTCCTCGGTGGGCCGCATGTGGCCCGCGGGCCATAGTTTGAGGACGCCTGCTTTAAAGAGTGGTGTTGGAATCAGGTCAGTATCACATTATATTTGTAGATTGCTTTGGGTTGCATTGATATCTTCAGAACGTTGTCTTCCTATCCATAAGCATATGGGTCTCTCTTTGATTTCTTGTGGTAGTGTTTTCTTATTTTCTTTGTATGGTCTTTTTATTTCCCTGGATTTGACCTTGTGAGTAGCTATTGTAAGTGATACTGTTTTTCTGACTTTCTTTGTTGGCA